TACACGAGATGAGGCAGGATAAAGAGGGATAATCCCCCTCGATCCCAAATCATTGAGGCCAATTTCTAGCCATGGAAAATGGCGCGTATACCTTCTGTTATGTCTATATATATAATATACTCTCCAGGACTTTCAGCAATCAATAAATGTTATTGTTATTGTGCAGAATTTGTGTACAATGTACATATTTGTATAATTTTTACATTTTAAATAAAAACTGTAATACCATGTATTTCTTTTTGATACACTTGTACATATCATCCCTATTATAAGAAGTATAAAAAATATATTTGCTTCAGTAATATGTAGCAAATGTATTTTTTATACTTATTAAATAAATGAATCTTTAAAGTATATAGAGGCGCGCGCCATTATTCTATGGCTAGAAATNTCGTTGCAATCACTTCACCTCACAAACAAGCACGTCCGCTCAGCTCGGCTGTTCGCACTGAACTCAAAGGCCACCTTAGCAATGCGCATCCCAGGTTGCATAGCTGCACTGCCCTACCCAACCATACCACATATAAACATGACACCACCCCCGGGGTTTACACAGACGAGCCGGCGAAGCAAGAAGAGCGCCAGAAGAAAGGGCCCTAGCCGGCGGGGCCCAGACTGGACAAAAGGAGGTCCCACAAAGCGCCTACACCGGCCGCATTTGCGGTCGGGGTAGACGACGGATGGGGCCCACCTACGAAGGCTGTCCAGGCCTACACGAGATGAGGCAGGATAAAGATGGATAATCCCCCTCGATCCCAAATCATTGAGGCCAATTTCTAGCCATAGAATAATGGCGCGTATCATGAGTTTCTTATTTTCTCTGTTTTGTGGTCTATGGTTATGATGATTGTTATGAAACGAATAATCAAGTTTATTTTTAAGTTTATGTACATATATAAATATTAAAACAAATCATACATAAATTATCTTATATCTATAAAAACGTTACACATGAATTTTTCACTTTTAAACAATGATTGAAAATCAAACTTTACAAGTAACACAGAAAGATAGTGCACCTAAATTAAGTAAGTTTTTCTTATTTTTGTTATGGTTAACCTCGAATAAGTTTGTAATTTGTAGTAATTACTAAACAAAGTTTTCGAAAACAAGTGTGGGATCATTTAAAAACAAATAAAATATGCACTTTTCCGAGCCCATTCGGAAGGATTCCAAATTTTAAGGGAGCACATCAAGCTGCATCGCAGTTGATGAATCTTGAAGAATTTGAGTTGGCCAAATCTGTGGAAGTTAATCCAGATAAACCACTGGAACCTTCAAGGATACTTGTTCTAGAAAATGGAAAAGAGCTATTTGTACCAGTTCCTCGTCTTCAAGAAAATTTGTTGAAACAATTAATTCCACAAAATGGATTAACTACTAAGAAAATTGTTAGTAGATGGGGCATTGAACATACAGGGATAAAAATTGATTTAGATAGTAAAATTCATATTGATCTAATAGTTGTGGGTAGTGTTGCGGTTTCGAAAGAGGGCTACAGAATAGGAAAGGGAAAGGGATATGCTGATTTGGAATTTGCGCTGTTGAAAGAAATTAATGCCATTGATGATAATACTCTTATCGTTACCACAGTTCATGATTCACAGGTAAAAAGTTATAAACAGGTAAAACGAGTATGAAGTATTACAGCTTACTGAAACATTATTATTATTATTACTATCATTATAGTCATCTTTAATAACTAGTAAATAGATAATTTCTTATTATAACACCATATAATTGGAATAATGAAGATGAAATTACATTACATTAATTCAAATTATTTCCATTTCTAATTGAAATCATCTTGGGATCTATTCAGATCAAAGGGCAGCTGTCAAGCTTAATATGACCCTGACAAGTTCAAAAACATACAAGCTTTTGTAGAAAGAGGCAATTATGCTATTCACAGTGGAGGTTTTACCATAAGAGCTGCGGAGCTGCAGAACATAAAATTTTATGTATTTAATTATATTAAATGTCAACAAAATATTTAATGAATCCAAATGTACTCGCGCTAAATTAAATCTTATAGCTTATATTATTATTTATTACGACGCGAGCTACGCTCCTTAATTTATGCAACCTCATATACAAAATGTGTGCACAGTGAACAGTTAGATGCGTCCTTTGTTTCTATTGGCTAATCAGGCACGTGACCCAGTACACTTTTATATGGGCTTTTGTGGCTGCAACAACGACAGCCACTGCTGCAGTAAATGCAGTAATATTTCGTACGTGGTATGTGGTGGTTTATTTCTGTGAGCGGCACGTGTGAATATTTTCGTTTAAGCATCTACGGATATTATAGTGATTAAAATGAATAGCATTTCGTTTTTACAAAAAACTATTTGGTTCTCTGCCTTATGAGGATAAACTAAAAATAAAAGAATTAAGTGGGCCAACACCACAATTAAATATTGAAGTTAGTGGAACAAGCCGAAATAAAAGTTATAAAAGACAATTTAACAATAACGTATACTCGTACATAAAGACAGAGTGAGTGTGCGGGTGTGATATAAAAAAATACACTGCTTACTTTTCGGTGGGGATAAAGCATGGACAATATACAGTGTGAAAGATTTAAGTCATTTAAGTCATTAGGTAAAATAAACATAAGAAGTCAGTTAGATTCTGCATTTTGGGATAATATACGGAAACACAATGAACAGGTAACGAAAAATCGTTATGTATTATCTAAAATCATAGATTGCATAAAATTTTGCGGAGCTTTCGAATTAGCACTTCGCGGACACGACGAGACAGAAAATTCGGACAACCCTGATGTGTTTCGTGGACTCATAAATATTAGTGCAATCTTGACAACATATTAAAAGAACATCTAGCCACATGGGTATGACCGGGATTTTCTGTGATTGTACCGGGAATTAGCTGTATGGTCCCAGATTTCGGATTTGCATGTATAACTCTCTGAATATAAAAAAAAGATAAAAAAAAATCATAACACGGCGAGGAAAATTAAAATTTGTTGAATCGTTGGTTAACTTCACAAACGATTTTTTTGTTTATAAACAATATTCAATGATTTAATAAAATATATTTAGTTTATTCCAATTTATTTATACCGTCAGCAGTTAATTCGTGAATAGGTGTTTCAAAAAGGTATCAATTTCAAAAATCGTTCTTGTGAAAATCTGTATTTTTGTATAAATGGATTGTTCCTTGAAATTCAGAAGTGCCAGGAAAACGCGTGAACTTGAAAATTTTAAAATTTTTTGCCTGCGGCGCCACTTAGAGACTCCGAGCACTTAATATTTCGGAATTCAATTCAACAAATGTAATAACCCTAAGCAGAACACATTCAATCGATGTTCACGCGCCGCCACTGGCTATTCACGTGAGAAATTTAACAGAAATCATTACATAATATATACATTTTTCAGCTAAGGGCGACTGTTGCTGTTAGATATCAGTATCAGAAATATATACCCAGTAGAGGCATTAATTTGTTTCTTTTGAATCTATAATCATTAAAAATTTTAACAGGTAATGCCACATAAATGAAAATCATAATTTGAAAAACTGTTGCTAAGAAATCGTTGCTGTTTTCACACCCATTTCATTTTATTCCATAGACAAAACAGTTTGATGTTTTGAAACTTTTCATAATAATTTCCTGAACACGATCTAATATTTTATTATTTTTCTCAAAAAATGATGCATTTTACTAACAAGCAGTAAGAAAACATTTTTGGAATGGAATGGAATGGAATGGCTTGTATGTAACAAATCTTGTCCTGCATATATGTTTGCAGACTATAAAAAATTAAAGCTACATGTCAAATTTGAATGAAAATATGTTGTTTTTTTGCAATTAAAAAAAGTATTTTTGTCTCAAACTTTAACGCCCTGTATCCCAAAAATGAAGTGGTTCCAGACATATTGCTGGTTTGTGATGTAGAATCTGTAAGTGTTGATAAATCCCTTTCAGGTGTTTGATGAATTGCCTAAAGACTTATTTAAAAAATACGATGTGCCTGTTGACTACATTTTAACACCTACTCGAATAATTAAAGTTGAAAAGAAGCTGCCAAGACCAACAGGAATTTTTTGGGACTTATTGTCACAGACCCGTTTAAATCAAATAGAAATATTAAGAAACTTAAAGCTACAACATGAAAGGTAATAAATAGTAATAGTAGTTGACTGAAAATAAATTGAATTCTTTTTTTTTCAGGGAAGGTAAACTGATACCAAATATTATAGAGTCGAATATTGAAACTCATTCTACTAGGTCTCAAAAAAAGAATAAAGGAAATAAAATGAAATCAGATGTACTAAATGTCGAACAATTGAAAGAAAATGAAGAAAATACTTCTAAACAAAAAAATAATATTAAATGGAATTCTAACGTAACTAAATTAATAGATAATGAAAATATTCCTCCACCATCACCAAGGAGAAAACGTAGTAAACATCCTATCGATTTCTCTTTACTTATAGGTAATATAGAAAGGAACGTTAGAGTAAAGGATTTAAAAAAAGCTCTAGTGGAGAAAGGAATTAAACCTGATAGCATTACTTGGAAAGGTTATAGAGGGTTTTGTTACCTTCATTATTCTGCACGAACCAATAAGAGGGACCCAGAAAAGAGGGAACCATTTTCAATCGATAATGTTATTGAAATACTCCAAGGATTGAAAATCATACCAACCTCCAAACAAAACTTGACGGTTAAAGTTGTGGAGCCCATCACCAGGATCGAAACTACGGATGTTACTGCAGTTTAGCAGTTTACAGCTTATCAAACTTGCCAAATATGGTACCAAAACAATTAGTTCCTTTTTATCAAAGTTGTGTGTGAGAGAATCGAATATATTGCTTGAATGAGACAAATGGAAGTATGATACTTATTTATTTAACATATCTGCTTGTTTCTTGTTGACTTTCTAAAATTAACAACATTGTTAGTAACAATATTGTTAATATTTCCAACACAGTTCTGATTGACTTTGATTTGGTTTTTATCTGTATTATATAGGGTGTTGCAATATTTTACTGACAAAATTCTACAAGTGATTCTGTGACTAAAATTGAAAAATTCATGTGAACATAGGTTCCCAACCTCTTAGTTTTTGATATACAAGTTTTGTTAGTTATCCTCATTTTTTTATTGCTACCTGCTAGATATATTCTCTATTCATTGGCCAGATACTCGCCAACTTTAAACTATATTATTACTGATTTATTCAAATTAGCCATAGACCACAGACCACAAAGAATGTCACATTTTAATGAATAAACAGAATTTGTTTTTTCATAAGAGAAAAATCAGTGTCAACAAAAAAATTTAAAGAAACTAGAGGCCCTAGTTCTAAAAATTTTCACCTTAGGTAGGTTACGAGGGTTGTATGATAAGTACCTGGCCTTGATATGAAAAAGCATTTTTTACGTGTAAAATTAATTTTATATTTCAATGTAAATCACCTTTCAGTTCAATATTTTAGTCCGTTTTTCTACCTTTTGTATTATCTCTAAAAATTACAATTCAAAATAAGTGTTTGTTTCACCAATGACCTCATCGTTAGAGTAAAATTTTTTTTCCACGAGCCGTTTTTGAGCCGTTTTTTCATATTTGGAAATAGGCGATAATCGCTAGGTGCTAAATTTGGTGAATATGGTGGATGCGGAAACAATTCGTATCCTAACTCATGAAATTTTGCCACGACGACGCAAGTGTGCATGTGTGCAATGTCTTAATGGAAGAGGATTTTTTTCTTCGCCAAATGCAGACGTTTCCCTTTTACAGCAAGGTTGAAATGGTCCAATGAGGTGATACAATATTCTCCATTAATTGTTTTGCTCTCTTTCAAGGTAATTGACGTGAATTATGCCACGTACATCCCAAAACACGGTAGCTGTGAGTTTGTTCGCCAATAAAGTTGTCTTAGCCTTCTTTGGCGCAGATTCGCCTTGGAAATCCCACTGTTTGGACTGTTCTTTGGTTTCTGGTGTGCTGTGATGAATCCATGTTTCATCAACAGTTATGAACCGACGCCAAAAATCATTCTGATTGGGTTTTAACATCTCCAAACATTCTTTTGAAGTTGACACACGTGTTGTTGTTAATTGTGAGCAATCACGTTATCCATCCTTTTTCATATCTAAATGAATTATTAAAATATCTTGCACCCGTTGAATTGATTTGGCCACAGTCTCAGCAATGACAAGCACTTTTGCTCTCTGATGGTTTATCATGAATCTTGAATTATTTTTAAAGTGGTAACCTCATTTTTATGCTTGTACCGGCACACTTAAATTGAACTGTCCAATATTTGATGATTGATAATGAAGGTACAGAGTCCCCATAAACTTCGCTGAGCTCTGTTTTAATCTCATCAATTGTTTTCTTTTTCAAAAACAAGTATGTTATCACCGCTCGATATTCAATTTTTTCCATTGTTGTAAAATTACAAAAGTTCTATTTAAATTACTGGCATTTACAAACTAAACCACACACGACTTACAGTTTGACAGTATTGTTGTGAAAGGTTATATTTACGAAAAATATCACTTTTTAAATAGTAGCAGTGCCATCTGTTGCCTAGGCCGGGTACTTATGATACAGCCCTCGTATTTTTCGAAACTTACCAGTAGATGCGTAGGTAGAAAATGGTTTTTTATCAAATAGTTTTAAAGTTTGGTGGTAAGAAGGTGTTTCTAATTTAATTGAGTAATTTATGATTTCACCTTTGGAGTTTATACAAGGAGTGATGACTTAGTGTTAAAAAAAGTGAACCATTTCTTAGGTTACGTAAAGGCAGCGCTGTTGTAATTACCTGAGTGTGAAAAAGATCCACGAGAAATTAAAAATGACAATGTTTATACAGGCTGTTTCAGAAAGACCTCCCGTAAATACAGGGGGCGATAGTACAACAAAAAATAAGAATTTTTTGTCTTATGAGTCTATCTCCTCTTATTTAGAGATACAGAGCGACAAAAATTTTTAAGGTTAAGTTTTTTACCATTTGGGCTCCAATTTCTAATGTACAATTTTATTTTCTAAAAATAGTGTAATAGGAATGTAGCATAACTAGCGCCCTCTATGAAATATCCAAAAGATAATTAGACCAACGTATTTGGCATCCTTAAAAACCCCTGAATATCAAATTTCATAAAAATATTTCGAACCGTTTGGAAATTTTTGTAAAAATTCTATTTAAAAAATTTTATCTTGTTGCGCTGCATCTCGAAAACGAGGAGATAGACATATAGTTCATAAGACAAAAAATTCTTATTTTTTGTCGTACTATCACCCCCTGTATTTACTGACGATCTTTCTGAAACAGCCTGTATAAATGTAACTTTTATTTTTTACTAATTTCTTAATAAATATTAATTAAGACCTTCCGCTTATCTGTTGCATCTGACGTTATAAGCGCAACTTCCTTATCAGATCCTCCAGTGCATCAGCGTTACAACGGCGACTCTTTAAACTGTATTTTGGGTCATAAAACGGGGTCCGAATTTGTATGTGTGGACTATAAGAGTCAACGCTCCTTATGTTAAATTCCACGGTTTCACCACTGGTAAGGTACTGCCTCCACCATATTTAAACATCAGCTTATGGAATTTTTGACAGATAGTACTTGTTATACCTAATCCTAAAAATTATTGATTGGTGAGTTATGATTAATTAAGATGTGTTGTCTGTGCTTAAAAAAAATGGATAAGTTCTTATCATTTTATACTACACAGTGAGTTTTTGTTTTTAAAGTTTATTTCTAAATGAATTATATTTTGTCATGAACCGATTTTCTACTTGGTAGATCTACCTTAAATTCATTAGAATAATATAATACCAAAAATGAAACATTTCATGTGTAATAATAATATCTGTCCTCCTCAAACAAATCGTAAGGCCCAGAATTAGCCCAGAAGTTGCAGATTTGTCTTATTTTGACAAAGAATAGCCTGTAGAGTTTTGTCAGTGTCAGTGGCGGCTTTTCAGAGGAGGCAAGGGAGGCTAATCTTCCTCGAAATGTTTTAAAATTAATTTTATTTTCTTTATAGTTGCTAATACACTTGATTCACGCTTTATATCTATTACATATAAATTATTCGACATTCAAACTGTGCTCATGATGATCATGTGTGCGATTCGCTATGGCTTCATCAGACTAGATTCATATGGATTTTTAACTGAGCTGCGGAGACTAGCCTCCATTGATTTCATAGGCGATCAGGATCGTATTCTACCTAGATTTAAACTATGTAGAGTGTACCTTTGCGAATAAATAATAAAAAAATGGTAACATAAATTTTTGCGATTCAATATTATTTTTTTACTGTTATTTTGTAATACATAACGCTATAATTAAAATTTTAATCTCGATTGGACAAAACTTGCTGCTCTGCGCGAAGTCATAAAACACAATTTGTAATATTTCTCCTTTTATCTATCGATTTTGAGTTATACTTGTATTCTAATACTGCTTGTAAAAAGCAATAATTTATTAATAAATTATTTATTCATAAATATCTATAATGACACGACACATGTTATCAATCTACATTTAGCCTCATAAACTGTCTACCAGCCACCACTGATCGGTGTAATATTTCAACACCCTGTATCTGATGTTTCAATAAATTGGGTTGTAAAAGGTTTTGTTATTTAGTTTCTTCGAATACTGAATTTATTTTACTTACCTACTGAATCATACATATAGAATTACTACCTTAGAATATTGATATTTCTAATGCTTTATAATATGACTGTGACTTCCAATCTAAAAAGCCTTAGTGATACTATTTACTGTATTTAAAACTTAAATTATTTGATATATTTTTATTATTTGTATTTGTTTGACTTTTGATAATAAATATTAATTTATTTTGGTAATAAATATTGGTGGTTATATAATGTAGTTTATTGTTAAATACAGGAATTTGCAATGTGCAAGCAAGTGCAACGTAACAGAATTTTTGGATTTATCATAGTAACAATGAAGCTGCAACTAAAAGAAGGTATAAGATTTTATTTGTTTTTCTTTCACCAACATACTAAGGATATACAGGGTGTTCCTAAATAAGTGTCGCAACGGAAAACTGTAAATTCCTCTGGAAAAAAAAAACATACATTCCCTCTTCCATTTTTCTCTCCGGGCTTTCGTTTTCGAGATACATGGTGTCAAAACTTTCATTTTTTTAAAATTTTTTGCCAATATTTTAGGAACCGTTTGAACTTCAGGCCTGGGTTTTTGTAATAGCTACTTTTTCGCACCCTTCCCCAATTCATTGAACGTGCCAGTGGTGCAGATTTTAAGGTACCGTAAGAGTTTTTTCCCCCCTAACTAATACGCCACTGGAAAAATTGACATTTGACAGCAAATTATGAAGCGCCAATGAATTTTACACAAAAAGAGTTCTCTTGGTTCATTGCTCTAAAGTCAACCGTTTTCAAGAAAAATAACTATGAACAAAAACAAATATTTTGCTAACGTTTAGAAAATCTTTTCTAATTCAACATAGGTAGTAATAATTAACAATTTTAACGAAATTTAACAACATTTGCAACAAGTAGCTATTAATAGTGGTAATGTGTGTTCAAAAGCTCAGTCCTGTAGTTCAAACGGTTCCTAAGATATTGTCAAAAATCTGAAAAAAAGTTTTGACACCGTGTATCTCGAAAACGAAAGCCCGGAGAGAAAAATGGAAGAGGAAAAAAATGTTTCTCTTTTCAAGAGGAATTTACAGTTTTCCGTTGCGACACTTATTTAGGAACACCCTGTATATTTTCAAATGTACATAATTTTTCAAAAAAAACAAAAATATTTGTTGAGAATGCCCAATACTAGGAGTTGACAAATTGTTCAGAGAATGAAACTGATCACATATTTCTAGTTTCTTTTTAAGAAAATTAAAATTCCTTTCAAAAACTTCTGATGGATTTCGTTAAGTTTTGGAGTTATATTTGATTTGTTAAATTGTGTACGCTTATTTTAAAATTAAAAAAAATCAACTTTAAAACCTTGCCTTGCCTTCGATTCAGATTTTTATGATTTTTTTTTATCCACTGAAATAAAACAACTAATAGACCTTCCAAAATACTCGGATTAATTAGATAAATTTGTGACCCAAGTTTTATTAATCCACATTAAACATCCTCAGAATAGTTCAGAAAATGTGATATATACAGGGTGAGTCATTAATAATAGTACACAGCTTAATGGCAGATTGTTAACGTCAAAATATAGTGAGCCAAACATGCCTTAATCAATTGTTGCTCCTTTTCGTTCTACAGGGTGTTACAGTTGAAAAAATATTTTCCTTTTTTATCTATATTTTTAAGTATGTATGGACCGATAGTTTTGAAAATTTGTAGTTTTACGTTTTTTGAGGAGGCAAATACGAATATGTAAACAGTGTTGGGGTAACGTCTAGAGGGCGCTAGTTATACTGTCCTATAATGTAAAAATCTGTCTAACTTTTTGTATTTTACAACTTTGAATTTTTTAACTACAAGTTGTTGAACTACGTTTGATTCTAAATAAAAAAGGTATAATAGTTACAAATCGATAAACTAAACCGTTTTCGAGACACAGACGTTTTAAGTTTTTGAGATTTGGCGGGAATTAAATTAGAAAATTAGCAGATCTTAAGATACCAAGCTTGAATTAAGAATTAAGACAAACATTACAGCAATTGAAAATTTTATTATGCATATCATAAACAAATTATTAACCACCAGCGACTTCAATGCACTTTCTTAGTCTTTTATTTTTTTTTTCTGACGTTAAATAAAGTTCTATGTTGTTTGATAATATGAACTGATTCTTGAATATTTGTTCACAATTGTTTATGGCCATTAATAATATTTTTGTAAAATAAAAATTTAAGATTTCCCCAAAAGTAAAAATCCAGCGGATTTAAAACAGGGCTACGTGTAGGCCAAGGTACTTCGCTACCGCGTCGAATCCAACGGTGCAGGAAATTTCTATTAAGATATTCTCTTCTCTAAAAAATAACAACAAGGAAAAAACTACTTCCTAAAGAATTGGCAAAAACAATATGGTATTGTAGTAACTGCTGTCAATTTATTATGTCGATGCCTACTACTTTGGAAAAAATAATATTCTAATTTAATTCCCGTCGAATCTCAAAAACTTAAAATGTCTGTATTTCTACAACAGTTGAGTTTATCGATTTGTAACAAGTATACCTTTCTTATTTAGAATTGAACGTCGTTCAATAATAATTAAAAAATTCAAAATTGTAAAATATAAAAATTTAGACATTTTTACATTGACATAACAGTACAACTAGCGCCCCCTAGACGTGACCCCAACAATATTTGCATATTCGTATCTGCCACCTCAAAAATCGTAAAACTACAAATTTTTAAAACAGTCGGTCTATACATACTTAAAATATAGCAAAAAATCGAAAATATTTTTTCAACTTTAACACCCTGTAGAACAAAAAGGAGCAACAATTGACTAAGGAATGTTTGGCTCAATCGCTATATTTTGACGTTACAATCTGGCAGTGAGCATTATTAATGACTCACCCTGTATATTTTTTTGAACACTAAAGAATTTTATATTCATAAGAAACTTTTTTGTTTAAAATAATTTATTTTATCACCTGGTGAAGTTTTCCGTTTAAAACCTGGATCACACTTTATAATATTAGAATATATACAGGGTGTCCCATAATGAATTGTACATAGAGTAAGAGGTGATTTGTGACGTCATTTTATTTTCAATTTACTTAACCTAAGAAATAATTGATGTATTTAAACGAAATTTGGCATCCCAGGATTCTTTTAACATGAGAAATTAAAATTTCCTTATAATTTCGGCATATATTGTAGATGTATACGCTTACGCTGGATGTTTTTCAAAAAATTGTGATTTTCTGTAAATTCTAGTGGCGCAGAAGATCTGTGAGTAACAAATTTTGAACCAGAGTGAAATGAAACAGTCGCAAATTTTTCTTTCATAGTGCTTATGGAACATTTACTTACACTGGTATTTGCCGATAAGTGTCATGTACGAAGTCCAGCATCTTGAGCAATACAAACTAAAATTTCATCTTATCAACTGTAATAATTTTAGGATGCCCTATGTGGTTTTTGGAACGAAATTCTCCAGTTTGTCCTAATTAGTCAAGGATATTTTTAAAAGTTTGATAGTTTGGTGGATCCTGTCAGGATACAACAACTGTATGTATGTCCCACGAGCTAGTCTGCCACAAAAATTTTCTTGTGTATAAATGCATATCTTATTTCGCGTCTGAGTACTAGAAAAATTGTGACGGGGCATTACGATGAAAAACTGTAGAAATTCAAAAGCAATCTAAATTCTAACACTTATTAAATAACAAACTAGTTTTGAAAGTGTCTTCCATTGTTTTTGTTTTTATTTGCAAGATTTTCTTGATAAAGTGCATCTACAATTTAAATCACATTGAATCTTTTACATGTAAATACCTTGAAAACAGTAATTCCTAGTCACATTGAGAATTGATGCAAATGTGATGGAAAAAGAGATGTTATCAGAAAATAAGATATAGCGTGTAGCAAAAAGTTTGTAAACTACAAAAGTTTAAATAGGCGGCATAAGTATCGTCTTCTACATTGCATGCCAAAATTATAGGAAGATTCAAATTTCTCATCTCAAGATACCAAATTTCGTTTACATACATCAATTACTTCAAGGTTATTTAGAAAAATTGAAAATAAAATTTTTATTTTGGGACCTGACTCGCCCTCACATAATTAACGTCACAAATTACTTGTTACTCTACAATGTAACATTTTTATTGTTCATTTTACGAGAAAAAGGCATTCTTGATTAAAATTTTTGCTTGTCTTTAAAATGCGGTTGGCATGGAGAACTTTCATCTTGCATGTACAGGGTGATCAGAAAATCGGTAAATATAAAAATCGTTTAAGAATAAACTGCCTTTTGCTCATCATTCAAATATAATTGGCATGAAAAACTTTATTTGGTAATTTTTATTTAATGCCGTTTTAATGTTTATAAGCAATGGAAATATTTCCAAACTTCTTAATAAATTGTATTTGTTTCTTAGTTTGTACTTAGCAATTCACACATTTAAGGAAAATATAATCACACTAATATATTACTATAATATAAACTAACATTAATAACTAACTGCATATTTTAAAATAGAGAAAATTGTTATTAAAAGTTTAGAATTATTCAAATACACCTCCGTCATGGTTTACGCAGTTTTCAATTCGATAAATAAGTTGTTGGAAACTTCTCCTATTCTCCTGTAATGTTATTGACTGAACAGCTTCCCTTATGCGATCTTTTAACGTATCATTGTTAATGTGTAAAGGCTTGCTGTATACAATTTGTTTTCATCTACCCCATAAATAATCTAAAATTGTTAAATCTGGGCTGCATGTGGCCTCTGAATCGAACCATGTTGTCCGAATCACTTGTTGGGAAACTAACCACTGTATAATGTTAGTCGAAGAATGCGTTGGACAGCCAACATGTTGCAAATAAAATGAATTAAAATAATCTAAATTAATTCCAAATTAATTAAAATAAGTAACTATTCCCATTGCAAGTGCTATCAAAAAAATATGGTCCTATTATACGATCGTAAGAAATAGCGTCACTCTAGTATCCAGCATGTTGTGACGCAACTATTCTATTAGTTGAAAATGTGGATTAGTTGGAAAACATCATTTTCTTATGAAAATTTCTGTTCATGCTTTCAATCCATAAACAAAAGTCATGACGTTTTGCTTCATTGCTCGCTTCTATAGTGTGATTACTAATTTAAAGTTTATAGGGAAATATTTAATTTTCTTTCAAAATTTTTTGGACATGCGATTTCTTAACTTGCAAATATTCTGCTCGTCTTCTTAAAGATAACTTAGGATGGTCTTTTACAGATTGTAGTACCATCACGGTGATGGCATCATCTTCATATTTTTTCTTCGGTTTGTTCAACACTGAACCGAAAACCTCTGAATTAATTTCTGACAAATTGATATTGAAGTATGGAGATTTGAAATTTTTTATGGAAATCTTCAATAATTTGTCGGTAACAACTTTCTTCTTTGATAAAACATTGTATTAAATAAATTTTTTGCTGCAACGTAAGCATATTAAGAATAACTGTTACTACTCAAAAGCTCTATCACTTTTCATTATGACGGTTGTTGTCAAACTTTTTATTCTCCATGTCAACCGCATTTTAAAGATAAGCAAAAAATGTTAACAAGAATGCTTTTTTCACGTAAAATAAAAAATAAAAATATTTTTCCTCCTTTCCACTCTAACCGTGGACATACTATGTATAAGTATCTAAAAGATAAAATTTCAACTGTAAATTATTTTTGTCTGTATATTACTGTTATGGCTTGAATATTGTATATTACTGTCATCCGTTAAACTAGGGAGGCTGAAAGGGCCTGGCGTAGCAGGTTGGTTATGTGAGATGATTAAAAGACACATTGTTCTAAACTCTGTTGTTCATATTAATAGTAGGTAAAAAATGGCCCTCTGAATATCTTAGTTCAGTTGAAGAGGTGTAGTGTGTACATGGTTAATCAAAATAGATTATTGCAAAAAAACATTTAGAAATCAATAAATAAATATGTTTTGGTACTTAAAATTATATTTTTGGGGAAATAAATTGCATATTAATTTTAAAACTTTTAAGTGTGTTTTAAAAATAGAACTAATATAAGGAACTGCACACTTCTGAATACATGACTATATTTGTTGTCTATGCAACATTATAATTGCTTATTAATAACTGATAAATAACTTAAGAGCAGAAAGGTCAACTATTATGTCATCCGAGTGATGAAAAATATGTCACCACATGTGTTAACTAGATTAGATACTTTATAATTTAGATCAGTTGCAATTAAGATTACCATGGTAGCAATACATAGATTTATAATCACTTTTTCCGTTCTTCTGCTTCTGTCTTACATTTTATGTGAGTCTCCTGAAGAAGCAAAAAAGAAAAGAGCGCTTCTTATTAAGAAACACTTGAAACGTCTTAAAAAGGTGAACGGTGCAATCAAATTAGTGGGAGGAAGGGGAGAATTTGAAGGTAAGTGTAAGATATTTGAATTTTTATTTATAATTAAACTTGTACTGATAGGAAATGTAGAAATTCTACACGAAGGATCATGGGGTGCAATTTGTGACGACGAATGGGACATAAATGAAGCAAAAATTATTTGTAAACAATTGGAATATCCTCCTAGTGATGTACAGCCTACAGCGAACTCATATTTTGGACCAGCTAGACGTAAGTCTTTTAGTAGTAGTATATATATTATATGATATTCTCTAATTTCATAAAATACTCTCCATATTTTCATTAAATTTATCGTTACAAAATTTCGTCACATATTTCTTTAGATATTATTAGGAGTAAAAAACTTCTGGTCAAAATTTTAGTTTCAAAAAAATTATCTTTGTTTACATTTTTTGTATTAATTCCATTATTTTTTAACATATTTTAATAAAAATTGATAGAGGGGAGTTTTTGAGATATTGGCTAGATAGAGGTCACTAAGAATACTTTAAACAGTCTTGTGCTATATTTTTTGTTCTTCTGACATGTCTTTTCTGAAACCTCACTTTATGTATTGTAAAAAAATTATTTAGGTACTTACTATAAGAAAAGGTATACTTTCTGATTATTGCTAAAATGCATTCTTGAGAAAAGAGTATTTCAATTCTCTCCTGCAGTTATCAAACTTGTATTTAACTTAAGCATTTTTTTTGTAATTTAGATCAATTTATTCTCTATTCAACAATCTATACCCACTGAGACATAGCTTCCTAATTATAGTAACCAAAGCTAAATTTACAGGACTATATTATTATCCAGAAGGTGTTGATTTGTGAATGGGAGTAAAAATTAGATTTGCATTATGGTATTTGTCCTGGTTTAGTCCATTGTCAAGTGTATTTTGTACTTGGTAATATTTAAATAGTCTATATTACAATTTTGGTGAAAACATGTTTATATAAATTAAAATTGAGCTACCTTAATAACTTGATATCCTTAAAAAGTGATCTGAAGATGGGGTATGCATGGAACTGAAACTAGTAATAGTTCTGTTAATAAAAAAATGATTGTAAGGGATTTGAGACTTTGTTTCCGAAAACCTAAAATGAACTCGTATTTATCAATTTTCAGTAACCAGGAATTGTTATATACAGGGTGTTTGGAAAAATTGGTACAAATCATGCTTTTACTAACCGTGAATATGCTGATACTCTCTTTGAGCCACCAGACTATTTCCATTACAGAAGCCATATTAATGGTTAGTAAAAGCATGATGGTTCATGGTTGTAAAAAAATCGAATGAAATGTAAAGTTGAGGACAAAGATCACAACTAAGAAAATAAAGAAAGATAAGAATTTAAATCATAGCACGCGAAAGTGACAATCATTAGTATCATGACAAAGAAACTGTCACTATAAAAGACGCCTACTATGTGAAAATGTTAAAAAAAGTTACTGTTGTGAGCCATACATTATTTAAAAAATAATTATTTCTGACTAAACTACCCAGAATTCGAAAAAAAGTAGACAACTTTTCTTCAAAAAGTAATTTATTAAAAAATAATATTATTTGCTTGATAATTCAAAGGAATAAAAAAAATTCGAAAAATTTCTGTCAAGAGTAGTTACAAAACTATCCTTATTTATAACCGATTTTGATTAAACTTATGGTACTTAACACGTCGACTGCAGTACATACCTCGGGGGGTATGTACTCATTATAAAAAATATGCGAATCTCAATAATCACATTTTTACTGTATCTTGTGGAAGTTGCAGAATCTGTAGTTTTTAGAAATAATGATTTTTCTATTATTTTCTTTTCAAAACTCTGCGAATGAAAATGTTAGTATCATAGGATATATAGTTACAGATACATGCAAGTTTATAGCAATAATTGTGTTATTTTAAATTTTATAGGGTCAAATGTAAAAAAAATTACATATCCCTAGGGATATGTACCGCACACAGAAGAAGTTTTATTACATATCCCCGAAGATATGTATCGCAGTCACGGACAAAGTACATTGAGATTATCTCGCAGTCAACGTGTTAAAGGCCCTTATGGTATAATTATTACCTACAATTTTCATTCCATTATCTTAATCAGAAAGAGTTATTTTAAAAAATATCCAAATGACAAGACCCCTTTGGAGGGCCATATCTCAGTAACGGTGCTCCGGAGGACCAATGCTTATAGGAACTTTTTTTACTATTTTTGGCTCTACTTTCACACCCTTAAATTTTGTACAAACTTTTCCAAACACCCTGTATATGTTATACACTGTTCATGAAAATAATTGGAAATGGTCAACATTTTCAGTAGGTACCTAACACATAATTCAATTTTAAAAAATCTCTTTATTTCAGGTTTCAGGTTTTCTCCATTCTGCAAGTTATGTATAAATAGATTCTCATTGAAATCATCTATATAATTAAATAAATAGAAATAGTCATATCGATTCAAATTTAATATTCACAGAATAGGAGAACTTTGCGATTAATGCAATAATTTTTTTATTATTATTGACTCGATTATTTACTATTAAAATCCAAATAGTTTTTGTGAGAGGATCTACATTAAGTCCTATATTCTAGAAAGCCTTATTTTGTTTTTATTATGAAATAAATATTTATTTTGCAACTAAATTAGATTTTTTGCAAAGATTGTGGTAACTAATTTTGAGAAAATTATAGTTTCCAAATATAGGGCCTATTAAAAAAATATATTGAGTTTACATATTTTTTATACTTATTATGTTAATGGTTTATTGTACGGCTATATAAATTAGAACACATGTATTTTAAAGACACTTCTGTTAATTATGTTATGTTATTACAGAACTGAACTACGTGACATCACAATATTTACTACTTTATTATAACTATTTCAACAAGATTTTCTAGAATAATATAACTCTAAAAATATTTCGAATAATGCATCTAATAAATATTTTATATTATCAAGATCATCATTTTTCGGTAGGACAAGGCCTCTGATTACATAGTACCTACTAATCAACAATTATATATCTGAACTTTTGTTTTATTACCATTTTGTTGTGAAATAAGTCTATATTTTTAACTCCATTTGATTAGTTTGCACTTTTCAGATATAATTATTGTACCAGTTCTATACTTATGTGAGAAATATTTGTTAATCAAAATTACATTTTCATTTTTAAATTAAAATAAAAAATATTGTATTTTTTTTAAACTTTAATTTGTTATTCCTACTCTCTAGGCCGTTACTGGATGGATAATGTGTACTGTGATGGAACAGAAGAAGAAATATCTTTATGCAGATTTGATGGTTGGGGACAAAATGATTGCACTTCAACCGAAGCTGCTGGAGTTATTTGTGCAGAGCCTGAGGAATCTCAGGAACAAAAAGATATTGATCATAAAATATCAATGTAAGCAAAAAGAGAAACAGATATAATACTGAATTGAGGATTATTATTACTGTTGATTGATGATTATCTTCAAAGTAGGTGCAAATGCTGTAGATTATTTATTAAATTTATTATGGAAATGAGAAGATTTAATTATTTGGTACTAAAGTTCAATTGAAACATAATTCGATAGCCAAGTTGCATGTTACATTTCTAATGCATGTCATACTTGTTGGCGTATATAAAGAGTGGTCATGCGAAAATTGCGTTCATCTAACCATTACCTCTGTTATACTTTGAAATACCTATGAAAAGAAGAGTGCAATAAAAATTGTAGGAAACATATTAAATTAGTTAATGCTTATGCAAAAACGATCATATTACTGAGACAAAAATCTGCAATATAGGTATTAGAGAATTAAGAAAATTGTATTGTTGCACTTTTTGTGTGACTGCCCTTACATAAATATAACAATAATTTTCTAAGTAATTCATTTTGATTAATGATAGTAGCAGCAATTATTGATGCTAAACTGTGTGTAGTGATTGTTTTGTTACAAACTTTTATATAGAAAATTTATTGATTTATCAGATCACCTACAGTCTGCCGGTACCTAACTAAGAAAGATTATTGAAGAAACATTAGATATTAAACAGATATTGTATTAGCAGTAAAATAAAATAAGAAACATTTTTGAAGCCTCTTATTATCGAATCAAGTACAGTAACAAGAAGAGTTTGGAATGTATTATTTATGTTGAGAAGAAAACATACATCAACATACTGTGCCCAACTCAAACTAAAGTTAATAATTCTGTTTTTGTTTGTTTTATATTATATATTTTTTTCCATACTTCTGGAATTATATTTTTTAAAACTTATTTCTTATTTCTAGTAACGTTATGTTTTAGGATGAAACTTCCAGCAAACTTGAAAATCCGTTTAAGAGGTGGAAGAATAGCAACAGAAGGAAGAGTGGAAATTCAGAATAATGGAGGAAAATGGGAAGTAATTTGTGGTGATGGATGGTCTCTTTTGGAAGCTTTGGTTGTATGCAAGTCTCTTTCATTAGGTATGTATATGTAGTATATCATTTCAAATTAATACAGAACTTTCTTCATAACAAAGATATTGGAAAAAGTCAACTATTATTTGAAGATTATCTTTATGTATCAATTAGCACTATGTCCTGGGTTAAAATTTGCAGACATACAAGATAATCCAAGAGTTTCTCTTTCTGATAAAGACTAACAGATTATTGAAGTCATAATGCTATTTCGACTTCGACTTTGACAAGCTCTTCAGTGAATGTGTGCAAAAGATGCAATAAAAATGTGGTGAATGCTTTAAAATGTGAAAACTGTTTTAGTGCATTTCATTTGAGTTGTGCTAAACTTACTAATGCTGTAAAAATTCTTAAAGACAATAAAGTTATTTGTTGTGAAATGGTTCAGGACACTGATGCTATCTTCTTTGATGCCGACGAAGTTAGTACCTGCTGTGACAGGGGAGATAGTAAAATTTTAATTATATCTTAAAACAAAAAGACATAATTATCCAAGAATTGAGAGAAAAAATTAATTTACTCAATAATCATATAGAATTCTTAAATAAATATGTGCTACATATTACGAATATTGATGCAGACCAAGAAAAACCAACGAATTCCGAAGGAAAAAGAAGTTCTCATAAAAAAGAAACTAAAAACCTTTCGGTGATTAAAGGTGGTGATTCCACAAATGTAAATATAAACAATGTACAGTCTATGTTGATTGAAAATAATAAACAGTCTCAATTTAATAACAAACAATGTGGTGGCAGAAGGTATTAAGCAAGTAGAAATGCAGTTGAAAATCGATGAGTGCATAAAGTTAGCCAATGCCGATAAAACTAATATTTCCCAGTTCCAAACGAAGCAGGAATGGCAATCAGTTACTCGTAAGAGACGCAAGAGATCGATTGTGGTTGGTAATATGGATCATGTGGCCATAAAGGGTGTCCCAAAAACTGTCGACCTTCATGTATACCGTCTGGATCCGAAAACAACTGCAGCAGATTTAACAAAATTTCTAAAAAGTAACTTTCCCGAGGTTAGATGCGAATCAATAAATTCTAAACATCCTGAAGTTTACATGTCGTTTAAGGTTTCCGTCTACCAGGACAACTTTAAAAGGGCAATGGAACCCCAATATTGGCCAAGTGGTGCTTGTATTCAACAGTTTTTTGTGATGCGCAGGAGTATGATGGAACAAGGAACATAACAATTGACCCGTCTATTTTGCTGCTAAATGCACAAAGTCTAAACGCAAGTAAAGTCGACGGTTTATATGTAGATATATATGATTACTTGAATCTTTATTTTCATTGTTTTACCGAGACTTGGCAAAAGTCGGAATCGATCGGCGCTTTGTATATCGCCGAATTTAAGTAAGTAAGCTTTTTCTGTAGGTCTCACTTTACTGGTGGGGGCGTTGCAATATTTGTTAAGAATAATTTTGAATCGATATGTATAGAATTAAAAGCTCATTGTATTGAGAAAGATTTTGAAGTATGTGCCTTGAGTTGCGAACTGAATGGTATAAAGACAATTGTAATAAATTGTTATAGATCTCCTTCTGGGGACTTAAAATTATTTTTTAATGGGCTATCTGATGTGCTTAATATTTTAATAAAACCAAATTATCAAATTATTTTAACAGGAGATTTTAATTTAAATTCATTTAATAATTCAAGAGATTTTAGTTATTTAAGTAACTTACTAGCGTGTTTTAATTTAGTTAATGTAGTTCATTGGCCCACTTGAGTAACAGAGACCTTTTTGAGTACGATTGATCACATTTTTATAAATTTTAAATTAGAGGGTTTTTGTTGTGTAATTGATAACAGTATATCCGATCATAGGACTGTACTTTGCGATTTAGGTGTAAGTTTGAACAAACATTCAAGAGTTTTTATCTTAAATGGAATTTTAATAATACTGTCATATTTAACTTTTCCAATGCCCTGCAAAATGAAGATTGGCAAAGTTTATACAACCTACACCAGATAAATGATGCATTCTAATTTTTTTATAATATATTTTTATACTATTTCAACCTCAATTTTCCAGTTAGAAGATATTGCAGCAATATACCTGTGAATAAAAAATTGATTAACGATAGTGTGAGAGCTTCCAGTTTGTATTTGAGAAATATTTATATATTGCAAAAAACTTATCCTATTAATACCTTTTTACAAAATACAGAAAAAGAAACATCAACACCTGGTTGAACAAACTAAACGAGCTTATTATCAAAATAAAATTATTTTCTCAAACAATAGATCAATTTCTACTTGGAAGGTTGTATCTGAACTTAGTAATAAAAATAAAGTTTACCCTAAAATTGAAATCATTATTGACGATGTTTCGTATAGAGATCCTGGACCGGTGGCATCACTATTCAATGATTTTTTGTAAATGCACCACAAAAGATTATTAGAGAAATACCCAGTACGATAAATAATTCCAGTTTTATTTCTTTGAAGCAAAACAACTATTCTCTTTATCTAAACCCCAACACTGCTGATGAAATTCTTAAATTATTGACAATAAAATTAAAACTTAAAAACTCATCTGGTACTGATGATGTACCAATGTTCTTAATAAGACGTGTTATTGGTTGCATAATACAACCAATTACCTACCTTGTTAACTTGTCCTTCGAATGTGGTACCTTTACAGATGTTTTAAAATCTGGAAAAATTGTTCCTATTTTCAAGGAGGAAATCCCTCTTGTATAGAGAATTATAGACCTGTTACTTAGCCCATTGTCTTTTCTAAAATATTTGAATATTGTTTTTTAAACCGATTAATAACCTTTTTAGAAAAATTTAACATTCTCTCAGTTAATCAACACGGTTTTTGCAAGGGAAGATCAACGGATACCGCTATACATTCATTTTTGGAACGCGTCTACCGTTTTCTTAACGTTGGTGAGTATCCAGTGGGTATCTTCTGTGATCTCAGTAAAGCTTTTGATTGTGTTGACCAGAAAAAATTAATGTCTAAATTGTATGCATGTGGTATTCGAGGCTTAGCTCTGGGTTGGGTAAAAACTTTTCTTGAAAATAGGACTCAATATGTTTCTATTAATAATAATAACTCTGCGTCACACCAAGTAAAACAAGGTGTCCCACAGGGCTCTGTTCTAGGTCCAGTGCTTTATCTATTGTATGTGAATGAGATAGATTCTCTCTCGAGTAGTACACATTTTACAATATATGCTGATGACACCTCCCATATTACATCTAATATCAATGAGAATGCATTAGAAGCTGACTGTAATAGTTTATTAAGTAATTTGACAGAGTGGTTTTACCAAAATTCTCTGTACATCAATATAAACAAAACCAAAATTTTGAGATTTCATGGTGCTCAAAAAATTTGTAATACCCTTAATTTTACACTAAACAATGTTTGACTTCCAATGATGAAACAGTTAAATTTTTAGGTCTCAATATTGATAAAAACTTAAATTGGAAAACTCATTGTGAAATACTGGTGAGTAAAGTATCTTCATTTGCATACCTCTTTCGTAATTTAAGGACAGTACTTGATCTGGAACAGCTTGTGTGCGTATATTACGCTCAAGTTTATTCTCGACTCAGATGTAGTCTTTGTTTTTGGGTAAGTTCTATACTTTCCTCACAAGTTTTCATTGCCCAGAAAAGAATAATGAGATGTATGGTTGGGGTCACAAGTACTTATTCGTGTAGAAATATTTTTAAGAGCCTTAATATTTTAACTTTACCGAGTTTGTTTGTCTTTGAGTTGTGTTTGTATGTTTTCCAAAATAGAAATAAATTTTCATTAAATAGTTCGGTTCATCAGTGTAATATAAGGCAAAGTAAATACTTTTTATGTTCCATTTACTAGAAAAAAAGTAATTTTAAACTCTCCTAATTATTTAGGATTAAAAATGTATAATAAACTGCCTGACGAAATAAAAACGATTAATAATGAATTTTTTATAAGGGTGCATTTAAAAGCGTATTTACTTGATAAGTGTTATTATTCTGTATCAGAATTTTTAATAGGTGTATTTTAGTGTGTAAGTGTTTATGACAATTCCTATACATGTAATATGTCGAACGGAAATAAATTATTAAAAAAAAAATAATAAAAAATTCAATTTTATTTCATCAAAATTAGTACGTAACATAGTGTTTTATTTAGTTTTACAACATTCCATTTTATTTGGCAATATATTACAGGTATATATTATTTCAGGATATGCTAGTGATGCAATGCAAACAGACTTCTTTGGTGGAAATTTGACTGATAAAAGTTTGGGAGGCATTAAATGTTTTGGTAATGAAACATCTCTCAGTCACTGTCTTTATAACGAACATGTGACTGGTAAATGCACAAGCCAAGATGTTGCTGCTCTTTCTTGTACACAGACCATGTCAGATTTAGTTATAGATCACATAGATCTAATGAGAACGGCCCATTTGGAAGATAAACAGATGTTCTTTCTTCAGTGTGCCATGGAGGAGAATTGTGTAGCATCCACTGCTTATGAGATACAGAAAGAGAATGATGCCTGGCATTTGGAAACGAGAAGATTGCTTAGATTCACAGCTAGAATTTTTAATGCTGGGAATGCTGATTTCCGTCCTGCTATTCCAAAACATCTCTGGGAATGGCACATGTGTCACATGTAAGTTCATATAGCTATGACTAATTACAAGTACAATAGTTCTGTTATTATTGAAGATGCAAAAAATATTCAAAGTATTAACTAGTGCAAAATGTTACCTTCATTTGACATTTCCGACTTCACAAACCAAAAACATCTTTTTCTTACATACATTTTTTTTTCTACAATCGTCGTCGTCGTTTATGGTTAGGATGGTGGTGTAGAATTATGAAGTTAAAACTCTCCAATATTGAGGTTTGAGTTTAGCTTGTAAGTTTTTTTTTGTTTTTATTTTTGCTCATTTTGTGATTGCAGTTTATTGGGTTTTGAGATTTATGAGTTTTGAGGTTATAGATTTTCAGGGTATGGGTTTTAGAGTTATAGGTTATCGATCTCAAGGTTACTGAGTTATGAAAGTATAAGCCATATAACCTTATACTATATGTTTAAGGGTTGATATTGTTGGGTTTCATACTTTCAAGCTGTTTTTTGAGATTAGAAAAAATGCTTGATGTAACCCTAAAAAAAAAGTCTTTTAAATTTAATCCCCGCTGAGGTAGCCGTGGATTGCCTTGTCCATACCAGCAATTGGGGAAAATAGTAATCATGTGATTCCGAACTTCCATCAGATAATGAGTCACGGCTTTATTATGTAGTGTATGTTTAGTGACGTTTCTGACGAATGATCTGTTATATCATTAGTTATACGGAATGTTGTATTTCCGTTTATTAATAAGCAGATAAATTGTTATTTCTGTATTTTAACTTTTTTGTTTTGTAATCTCCAATAACAATAAAATTATCAATAGTCTCCCTAAATTTACTTAATATGTTTAAATATATTAAAACTTGTGATCTTTTTGCTTTTAAATTTTGCCATTGCAAGTTACTGCTACAATTTAAAAATCAACCAACATAATATGTAAAATAAGCGAAATATTTCAGGCACTACCACAGTATGGAAGTGTTTGCTACTTTTGATATATACAACAATAAAGGAGAGCGAGTAGCTGAAGGACACAAAGCATCTTTTTGCTTGGAGGATAATCAGTGTTTACCAGGAGTTCAACCAAAATATGCTTGTGCAAATTACGGGGACCAAGGAATATCCGTGAATTGTTCAGATATATACAAATACACTGTTGATTGCCAATGGGTGGACATTTCGGATTTGGATCCTGGAAAATATAGTTTAAAGGTTGCAGTAAATCCTGAATTCAAAGTTCCTGAAATGTCGTTTGAAAATAATGCTGCTGTTTGCGATTTTTATTATTCTGAAACATATGGCAGTGTTACGAATTGTACTGTACAAAGGCCATGAATTTATACATTATTTTGTGAAATAATTAATTGTATTATGTCGAATTAGTATTATTTTTAGAAATGTTTAGCTGTTCATAACCTATATAACTAAATAATTTCAATATTTCAAGACAAAATCTTTTATTTTCAACCATATATGTAATGTTGATATTTCAAACTTACAGTAAGTTTGAAAGAGACATATATCTCCAGATGGAAAGTGACATTTACTAGGGTGGATAGTGATTACTTTCCACCCATACAAATGTCACTTTTAATGCAGGTAAATTCATTGAATAACGAAAATGTTTGTTTCAAAAAATATATTATTGTACCTTGCACGACCCTTCTTAGGTAATAAATCTTTATTGAAACTTTCAGCGGCATTGTCTTCGAAAACATTTTGATGACAATCTATCAAAAATGCGACTAATTTAAGTTTGTATGTTAGACTTTTTTAGTGCCATAGTAACCATTATCAAAATTCCACCTTGACGTTTTTTTTATCTGAAATCTGGTTATACAGGGATCTTACTTTGTTAATTTCTCACGTAATTATTTTTTTACAACAATCGTCACTTGCATTTAAAAGGTATGGTTGTAAATAAAATAGTATACAAACCTCGGTAAAAAGTTACCTCATGGATGTAACTGGCGTAGAAAAAAGACTTATGACTGTCATGAAAAATATTTGTCAAAATTTCCCAACAGCTTAAAAAAAATGTACCCTCTTCTTTTCCGTAGGACTACCTGCTTTCGAAGTAATCAACCAATTGTATTTAAATAGAAATCTATAAAATTACTCAAATATAATAAAGCAGAGATATGAAAAAGGTGTCAGTAAAATTAACAGACAATTACTTTAATTTTTCTAAATGTCTTCCTCTTTCTTCTACATACGTTTCAGCTGTTCTGATGGACTGTCTAATTGATTAAAGAATTAACAGTGTTTGTTGAATTCTGTGAATTCTCTTTTGAATTATATTTAAAGGGTAGCCTCATCATTAACAAAAGTGGCATACTTACACAAAATTTTAAATCTACTGAAACGCAATAAAGTGAATATTGGTCTGGTAACCAAACATGCCAATAGGCTTTTTTTCGCGAGTGAATATTGGTGAATACGTCTGACTTGTAGTTACTGTTTCTATCTCTTTTCATCTTTTTTCTAACCTTGTCTAACCTGAACAGATCGCGAAAATGTATATATTCACTATTCAGTGGTGCAGCCTGTCATATTGTAATATGTATTTTGACGACTTTGACATATGGGTTCTAACTTCTAACCAGTAACCATAATTTGTTATCCTTTATTGCTTGTGTTGTGGGAAATGGTGTTATCTCACTAAATAATAATGTATTTGCTTCGAATAAAACTGAAGGAATATATCAATGCTTTCTTTGGAATATTTTTAAGTGGCAAATTTAAAAAGCGTGAAAAGTATGTTAAATTTTTTATAAAAAAAATTAAACTAGAAAGAGGTTAGGTCGGTTTTTTATGTAATTCATACGAAAAAGACCTGAATTACAAATGATTCCACCAATATTATCTCTGGCCTAGGTCACAAAAAAAAAGAGGATAATCCTGAAGCAAAGTGGATCGCAAATATATCCCATATAAAAAATTAATCTTACCACTAAGTAAAATATTTGCTGTTTCAACGTATACGTTTACTAAAACATCTGTGCCTCTAAAGTTTAAATTTAAACTGACCACTTCCACAGCCGTATCAGAATCCATCATTTTGCTTAACGATTTTTATCCTCATTCAAACAAAATGTCAAAAAGAAAAAGGTTAAGTTACCGGCTGACAATACTAGTTGAATATACCAACAGAATATTCAGCTGAAGGGTGAAGAGTTCAGTCATTTGAACTAAACTTGTGACGTCACATAGTAGTTTAAATGACTGACTATTCTCGCAAAAACGTAATATTCACTCATACTACACATACTACAACATACGACTTCACTCGCGAAAAAAAGCCTAATGTGTTGGCCTTCCACAGCTTCTTATTGGGAAATGTAATAATAACTAAAGAATTTATTACAATGAACAGGCATAAAACATCTTTTTTATGGATATCTAGAGAGGAGGTACCAAGACAAGGTAAGTCATTTTGAAGGAAATTAAAATAATTTTGAATAAAAGAGCCAAAAGATTATCTTTTATTATCCCAATTTCTGCAGATACAGGTTTAAAGCTGCACTATTTTCATCTGGTGGAAATATGGACTTTATGGGTTTGATTGTAGAAACTGAACTGTACGATAAAATCGCCTGGTGCAAGAACGGGATAAATAACATGTCACTTATTTCATTTTTCATCACATAAGTATGTTGGTTTCTTGCACTCGGTATTTGTTTGTAATAAATATTTTTATTTTTCTTATGTAATATGCATCCAATAATTATATAACGAGCGTTCAAATAAAAACGTGGTCAAGTTGGTTCTGAAAATTTGGACGTAGGGCATAGCGTATAGCAAATGAACTTAAACGTCATCTGTCAAAGCGCTGTATCGCCGCTTTGTTATTGAAACTGACAGCTGCTATACAGCTCGTTGAGAAATGAGGTTAAGTTGGTCGCTATAAGCTACGCCCTACGTCCAATGTGTCAGAGCCAACTTCGACCACGTTTTTATTTGAACGCTCGTTATATGGTAAACGTTTTGAATATTGCTTATTCGCTTCTTTTTCTTACTCACTTTCATTTAATACAAAAAATAAAATCCTATTCTCACACCATGGTGTAATGATATGCCCAAGTGATTTTTTGAGCATATCATTATTTTCATATAAGTATATTCACTCTAACCTAGATGCAACTGTTTCATTCAACATAAGGATAGAAGACCGAAAATGTGTATTTTTAATGTAGTATAATCACCTGCATTAAATTTGCCTCGATCGATAATCTTGAAAGGGAGCTTGAACTCTTTAAAAATGTGTAAAGAATTTTTTAAAATAACTCCCCAAATTGCCATGTTGTTCATATTGTGTTTGTCTTTATTAGCTGGTGGATTATGTTTAACACGGCTTCCATATTTTCATTATTTTCATTTCTATCTTTTCTCTCTCTGTCTCTATGATTTTTCTTAAAACACTAGTCCCTCGTAAACATTGATGAATCTGTCGAGTTATATTAGGTTGCATGAAAGTAGTTTGCCATCTACCTAACCATAATCATAGTACATAATATGTCACTTCTATTAAAAATTCCATTGCAATATACATGGTTTAACTTTAAGTGGGGGGTCATATTTAAAGAGACGCTTTCTTCTTTAGAAACATGCATCAATAGTTTATTTTTTCAAATTCCGTTGTAAAAACTTAATTTTTAACCTTTTTTTCAGTAAATTTCATACCCCGCTGCTGGAGAAGCTAGTGTAACCTCTAAAACGGTGCGTTTTAGTCGCAGCACATGCCACACCATTCGCCGTAAGTCACTTTTGTCGTGTGGGTGTTCGCTACACAAATAGTACTTAACAAGTAACCTTGTAAAAAACTCAAGCAGTACTTAATCAATAATGATAAAATGAAATACACAAAAATAAATAGTTTGTTGATTGCTTCCAGCGATGAAAAACATTCAAATTCAAAATTAGATGTACTGTCTCCAAATGCGGAATGACACCCTTTGCTTCGTCACCGTTTACCAGCACTATCTCCCTCCTAATGCACTGTAGGTTGCGTACAATTCATGTATTTGTAATATATTACAGTGGCGGCATACACAACTATTAAAGTGCATTTTAAAAAACTAATTATAACTCGACTATTTACTTGATTAAAAAAAAAGAATTTCAGCTTTGTATTCAGGGGAACATGTACTATTATCCCTAAAAAACTGACCCCTGCTTAAAGTTACACCCTCTATATACAGAGTTATCCAAAAGTCCCGGTATGGCAGAAAAACTTTTAAAGAAAGCATTTTCGGAAAAATGTTTCAGACAAAAGTATAACGATTTTTCCCTGGTTATCTGATGGTGACCTTGGATTTGACTTTGACCTTTAAGGTCATTTGAAGGTCAAGTTAAGTTTTTTAAATGGAAACCCCTATTTTATATTGTAGATTTGGAAAGAGCAGGAAATTTTACGTCCAAAGAGGGTCTTGACGATGATTTTGACAATGACTTTCAAGGTCAAAGTTACTTTTTCATTGGTAACCCCTATTTTTTATTATGGATTTGGAAAGAACTGAAATTTAACCTTCAAGTACGACCTTGACTACAACTTGACAATGACCCTCATGATCATGTCAAAGTCAGGTTAATTTGACCAGAAAGGTCATGGTCAAGGAATTGGTCAAGGTCATAGTTAAACATAAAATTTCCTGCTCTTTCCAAATCCGCAATAAAAAATAGGGGTTCCTATTAAAAAAAATAATAACTTGACCTTCAAATGACCTTGAGGCTCAAAGCCAAGGTCAAATCCAAGGTCACCATCAGATAGCCACATTTAACCTTGAAGGTCATTGTCAAAGTCGTGGTCAAGACCATCTTTGGATGTAAAATTTCCTGCTCTTTCTAAATCCACAACAAAAAATAGGGGTTTCAATTTAAAAAACTTTACTTGACCTTCAAATGACCATGAAGGTCAAAATCAAGGTCAAATCCAAGGCTATCATCAGATAGCCAGGAAGAAATCCCTACACTTTTGTCTGAAACATTTTTTCCCAAAATGCTTTGAAGGTTTTCTGCCGTACCGGGATTTTTGGATAACCCTGTATAATTTAATGATTACTAAACATAAACTAGTGGAAAAAATTAAGAGATAAAAAAAAATCTAAATTTTCAGCGATTTTTCAAATGGCTGTATCTTTGATAAAAATGGTCGTATTGGAGTAAAAAAAAGCAATTTGAAGCTTGAAGTTTCTAATTTTTGGATCTTTCAAAAAAAATTTTTTTTCAGGTAACACGTATCGCGAATCTTAATGAATATCTCATGATATTCAAAATTTTTTTCGATGTTATTTTTGGTGTACGGACTTGAAAAAATTTTTCCAACTTAACCACCTTATGGATTAGATAGGTTGTTCATTTAGCTTCAATTTCTTTTTTTTTTTTGGTCTCGATACGACCATTTCTCGCTGAGCTATCGGACTTTGAATGAAAATGGATTATTTTCTCTTTGTTCATCGATATCTCAGAAACCAACGGTTGCACAGAAAATCGACGGTGGGTTTCAGAAACTTGAATGAATTCTCTACAAGGTCCTGGCACGGTTTTTTAGAAAACAATTTTTATTTATCCTTAACATGACTGAAAAATCGTGAAAAATAGGACTTTTAGGGGTCTTCTAGAAAATCACGAGCCACATTGAGAATATTGGGGAAAATGACTAATGTTAAGTGTGCCTTTTACAGGTCATTGTACCTCTAAAAGCCCTACAGTTTCAATTCGATCCATCAAGTCGTTTTTTTGTTTCATTCGATTGAATTTTTAAAAAAATTAAAGGATCACGTTTTTTTGCTTTTAAATGCTCATAATCTGTAAAAAAATGAAAAAAACATTTTTCTCCTGATTTTTTTGAAAAATGTTTTTGAAAAAAATTTTTTTTAACCGATTTTCAGAAATTTCGCAAAACCGCCGGCATTAGCGTTACCCAAAGCGTACTATGTGGAGGTTGCACGGTCGGATTTATGTTTCTTTTACACACGTGTGTGTGTGTGTGTTTCTTTAAGAGAAATGAGACCCGGTGGTTCGTCAGTTCCACCGTATTTTACGACTCCAAACTTATTATCTAAAGAGTGTATGTGTGTGTGTTCTTGTCCGTTTAATAACAGGTATTGCCACCCCTGCTCTCTATAACAGCCCTCAAACGTTTGGCCATGTTGATGCATCGGGTTATTTTGGGTTGCGGAATGGTGTTCCAAATTCGCTGAAGTGTGCGCTCTAACAGGGCTAGGTTCTGCAAATTTGGATACTCCCTATGCAATCGACGGCCCATTATATCCCAAACATACTCAATCGCATCTCTATGAGTATAACCTTCGTCTATCAAAGTAACTAGGCGAGCAACTTCCGGCTCTGATAGATGACGTCTGACCATAGTGAGCAATCGAAAAAAATTTAGATTTTTCAAAAAAAAAATATTTTAAATTTTTTTTTCTACTGAAAAAAAGGTGATTTGAAAAAAACTGTTTGTTTTAGTGTTCTGTAAATTCGGAAAAAGCTTTTTATGAATTCAGAAGTATCGCAGCAATAATCTCTGAAAATTTAATTAAAATTCGGTCAGCGTAAACACGAAATGAAGTAGGGGAATCGTGTTGAAAATGCTTGGGGATTACTGAGATAAATTTTCTGGAGTGAATCCAACAAAAAAATTAAAAAAATTTTTTTTTAATTGGCAAAAACTCAAAACCTTTTCGCACGTGTGTAAAAGAAGCGTAAATCCGAGTGTGCAACTTCCACGTGGTACTCTTTGGGTAACACTAATGCCGGCGGTTTTGCGAAATTTCTGAAAATCAGTTAAAAAAATTTTTGTTTCGAAATTGTTCAAAAAAATTTTTTTTTTCTGTAACGGGAAAAAAGTTTGACATTTTATCTCTGTTGACAGGTAACAAAATGTCACTTTTTATGAAATTGCTTTTTTCCCCGGGAAAAAAGTGAGTACTTTTTTCCGGGATATATACAATATACATAAGTAAAGGTAGATATTTAAAATAATTTTTGTGACGCTACTTTCGCTGCTTCTACTAACTACGGTGGAGTCAGAGAAAACTCGGAATCAGACATTTTTTAACTTTATATTATTCAAAATAACTACTAAACAACCACTAAGTTTGCAATTTTTATATCAAATCACATAATTAAATTGACAGATATTTGATTACTTTAAAGGTTTCCTTAGCAACGCAGATGTAATTGTCGCTATAAGTATAACAGCCTTGTCGGGAGACAACACAATCTCGAGCTAAAATCTAGTACTTTTTTCCCTTGTATAATAAATTTCTATTTTTTTTCATAATTTCAAACGCTTTCTGCAATAAGTGTAAAAAAATCAGGAAAAAAATGTTTTTTTTAATTTTTTTACAGATTAAGGCAAAAAAAAGTGATCCTTTAATTTTTTAAAAAATTCAATCGAATGAAACAAAAAAACGGCTTGATGGATCGAATTGAAACTCTGTAGGGCTTTTAGGGGTACAATGACCTGTAAAAGGCACACTTAACATTAGTCATTTTCCCAATATTCTCAATGTGGCACGTGATTTTCTAGAAGACTTCTAAAAGTCCTATTTTTTACGATTTTTCAGTCATGTTAAAGATAAAAAATTTTTTTTTTCTAAAAAACCGTGACAGGACTTTGTAGAGAATTCATTCAACTTTCTGAAACTCCCGTCGATTTTCTGTGTAACCATTGGTTTCTGAGATATCGATGAACAAAGAGAAAATGATCCAATTTCATTAAAAGTCTCTCAAAAGCTCTGCGAGAAATGGTTGTATCGAGACCAAAAAAAAATTAAATTGAAGCTAAACGAACAACCCATCTAATCCATAAGGTGGTTAAGTTCGAAAAATTTTTTTCAAGTCCGTACACCAAAAATAAGATCGAAAAAAATTTTGAAAAAATTTTTTTCATGATATTCATTAAGATTGCGCGATACGTGTTACTTGAAAAAAAATTTTTTTTTTGCAAGATCCAAAAATTAGAAACTTCAAGCTTCAAATTGCTTTTATTTTTACTCCAATACGATCATTTTTGTCAAAGATACAGCCATTTGAAAAATCGCCGAAAATTTATATTTTTTTTTTGATCCCTTAATTTTTTCCACTAGTTTATAAAGTTTTGATAGTCCAATTTGAATTAATATTCATTCTAAAAATTTTCCTAAAAGTCTTATCAAATTACATTCGATACTTTATTTAAGATTTTTGGGAAACATTTTAGAATTAATTTAAATTAGCTTAATATCTTCAAATAAGGGATTGATCCTGAAAATTTTGAGAACCGCAAATTATTTCTGTAATAACAACTGTTTGTATTTGACTGCTTTATTTATTATGTCAAACCAATTAGTTATGCATAAAAATTTTACTTCAACGTGACCACTTACAACTAAAGTCTGGTCACATTTAAGTGATACAGACACTTGCACAACTTATTTATTAGAGTATGCAATAGGTACATGACTAATTTGAATTATGTAATTGAAAAAATAAGTTTATAGAATGTTAGAGTATAGCATTTTTTAATTAATGGGTTCTAACCTTGGAAACTTGTTAATTTCTTTCCCCAAGATTTGAATATTTTTTTGGAGATTTTTCTTAAATACAATTTATGGAATATATCAAGAGTACCCTTTTCTTTATTTTTAATTTTTTCTTTCAGAAAATAGTATTGTTTTGAAAAAGCTACACATAGTTTTTTTTAATGACAGATACATCATAAACCTAACTACACCGATGAGGTATTCAAAAATTCTTTTTCATCATTGATATGCTGCAAACAATGAGCTTGTGCATGTTACCAAATTTTATGTGAAGCGAATACAGCTTTCCAAAGTTATAAAAAAAGTGTCTAGCATTTGGGACTCAATTCCAGGATTTCAGGATCAAAAATTTCAATCCTGGGAACAGGTCTAGATCCTGAAATTTAACTAAAAAATGATAATACCTTTTTGTTCATACATTAATTTTCCAGTTACATAACAAATAACACACTGAATTTTGCTGCGCTGTAAACAGTTGATCAGTTGATTCAATGGGGTGATTCAGGACCGGCCTAAGTTTTGCATAATAATTCATGTTATTTTCTGGAACATACGACACTTTAGACCACACGCTGCTTAATAAAAGTTATTTATTTTCATATTCTCTGTTACCCCTTTGAAGGAACTCAATTATTTAGAAAATACCATGTATTTATCTCATGTATCAATTCAAAATAATGTTTTGTGTAAATATCATGAGTTTGGGTTATAACTAAAGAACAGGAATTTACAGAAAAATATCATGTACATCATTGGATTCTATGAAAAAAAACAAAAGAAAGAATCCTAAAAATCTCAAAATTTTCACAAACAAAAAAGTTACTTATATAAAAAAAAAAACTAAAACTAGTACCTTGAATTGAATTTTTCTAAATAATCTAATCTGAGACAAAACTACCTTTTGTCTATCTCCCCAGAAAAATTAGAAATCCCTTGAAGGTATTGAAAGTGGCATATCCTGTATAGTTCATAAAACATCCTGTATAATCATTTTTTATTTGAATAAAATGGTAAGGTAAATAGAAACTCACAGATAAATAACTTTAAAAATGTTTTTACTTCAGGAAGGAATAAAAAACACTGACAAAATATTGTAATAAACAATATAATGGTCTTTTTTTAATACATCAATTCTAGATATTTTGCTTATATTAATTGTGATTGTGGAATGAGAAATCTACATTCAAATGCGCAAAATAAAGCTGCTCTTATGTAAAGTGTTGGGCAAGTTTTATCAAACTTTTTTAAGACTTGTTAAATGCAAAATGCAGAATAAATATTTGTACATTTTTCCAAACTTTATTTAAGAGCAGCTAAGCGCCCTAAATTTATGTGGCAGCTAACCCGTAACTAAGTTTTCCCATTTTAGCAGATGACAACTACAACATAATCTCACTTAGAAAAGAGGTATATTACTTCAAAATCACAAGTTAACGTACATTATATGTATATATATAAAAAAAAATATTTGGTATATGTAAAAAACGTGAACGATCATCTACCAATATGGAAAGATTTTGTGCAAGCGTTTGTCAACATTTAATATTTACAATGATGGACACATTAGCTTCAATGGTGATTGTGAGGGAAGACAGGGGGCAAGATGATGAAAAAATGACATATATTTGAAAAGTTAAGTAAGATATCAGCTCTCTGATAAATGAGGTAACAAGGCGGGGTTGATAGGTACAGGTCGTGTCCTCGGAAGTTGTTTTTTCTGTAATAATAAAATCTCTATAGAATATTTTTCAATATTTCTTTTACTTTTTTATACTAAATTAACAAGAAATGAATTTGTGATTGGTACTTGTTGATCTAAATATTCCAAAAAAGTATTTACAATAAAAAAATATACGGTGTACCACATAATTTTCACTGTTTCCATATAAACCAAAAAACGTGTTTTAAATCAGCCATAAACGGAGGATAGTAAAGGATTTAAATTGATATTTACAAATATTTATTTTTATCTGTATACTTGCAAAAAAATTTTGATTTTGGGAACAAAAAAATAGGACGCCTTGTGCAGATAGTAAAATTTTCTACAACTTTTTCCATATTTGCTTACATTGTAAAATCAACCATTTCTTAGAAATGCCAACTGGCAATATCAATTGATTTCTAATTTGTTGCATTTTAGAAATGAGAAGTAAAGAAATACATATTGAACAACCTGTACTAAAAAAGCTGTAATGTTACTTTTATTTCAAGAAATAATATGCAAAATTGCTAATATTTGCAAGCACCAGATTTGATAGACAAGCAAATAGGGAAAAAACTGTTCAAAGTTTAGATCTCTACATATATTATGCATCCTATTTTTCCATTTTTTTTTTGTAGAATAGCACTATCTGAGTATGAAAATAACAAAATATTTTTATGCCAAAATGAATCACTATCTACAACTATATTTATATATTTTATGTCAGTAGTATTATTAAGTAGCACATACTGTATATTTCTCATACAATTTTACACAAAAATTATTTTCGAATTAAGATATAGATTTTCAGATCTAAAGTTACTGGTTTAAAACTGTTTTACATTTATCGATTTTCCCCCAAGAAATTGTTACAATTCGCTATATTTGTGGTACCATTTTATATGTTACAATAAATTGATCAATTTATTGGCAAACTGTAAAGCTACTAACTGTTAGAATAAAAATGAGTCAAATTATAATATAGTAATACCTACAAAATTTTTCTAGTTTACAATTAATTTTTAATATTCGTACATTTCATTCACAGTAAAAGTTGTTTATTAAAATGAAAAAGGTATCTATTTAATTTATATCGAAGTTCCCTAAGGACTCTGCAACAGTAGTGTTTCTCAACCGTCGGTATCTAGACCAGTTAAGGTCTGTCAGAAATTACTGACGGTCTGCAGAGAAACAACAGTATCTATTCAAAATTTTATAGAAAAAAATTTTTACTTCACGTTATCCCGTTGCAAGAAAATTATTACCAGAACTTCAGAAGTAAAAATTGTTGCTGAAATTTCTTCTGGGCATCTAAATTCTCTACTTTTCACAATGCTACAGTGCCTTCATAAATGCCCAAGTCGCACGTGATTAGATTTGTTTTAGCGCTGAGTATATTTGATTTTTTTAAGTTGGTGTTTCAGAAATTACCAAGGAAAAATCACCAATTAGGATCTTAGAATAAATGTGTTAGTAACTTTTCGTGTTTTTCTGTATTTCCGAGTTTTTCTACAAATTAATCTTTGTTAAATAAAAAAAAACAGTTCTTTTCAGAACTCCGAAAATTCGACGTTTTTCCGTAAGCTAAAAGAACATTTTAAGCGTATGTTTCATTTGTTACATTCTTATTTCTTGTAGATTTTTGCGAAACCGGAACAAGACATATTTATTTTGATGGCACATTTTCGCAGTGGTACCTACACGGAACGCAGATGGAACTTGGTTTTACTCTTTGCAATACGGAACAATTTGTTGAAGCCTGATGCTATTATCGTATAGGTATATGTTTAAAAACCCCAAATTAATCCTTATTAAGAGATATGAGAAAAAACGTCATTTACAAGGGCAAGTCGAAATGCAGTCCGATGGTTGAAAAAATATGAGACAACAAATGGTGCAAACTCCTAAGCAGTTCTCTACTCAAACAGGTACTGCGATAAACTTAATATATTATGTAGTTTCAATTATGTACATTTTTTAACCTAAAACTAAAGTTAAAATTAATAATTACATAATATTGAATTTTTTTTTAATATCACTATTTCTTTAGAATGTATTTTTTGTATCAACATATAAAATATTGCAGCTTTACTCTTGTTAATTTGTGAATTTACCAAACATAAAACAACTACTACATTGATGGTATGTCCGTGGGTGTATTAGTTGAGGACTTGTCGCAAGGTATTAAAGAAAGTTGCACATGCATTCCTATAAAGTTTCTGTTGTGCAAGAGTTACGTCCTCTTGATCACAACCAATAAGTACAATATTGTCGATGGTTTAATGAACATTTAAACGATGATGATTTGTATCTGGTTATGTAAATAGTCAGAATTACAGAATTTGGGCTGCAGACAATCCACAGAATTTAATTGAAACAATGTTACATCCTTAGAAGATAGGTATTTCAGTAGCAGTTTCAAGAAGATGGATAATAGGTCAATTTTTTTCCGAGAAGTAATAAATGAAGAACGATATTGTAACATTTTACAAGCCCTGGAATTAATACATCACTATGAACTGCGGCATGGGTACTGCAGCAGAAACTATAAGATATCTTCAGGATTTTTATGGTGATGGATTGATTCATAGGGGTTTGTGGCCTGCTTGAAGCCCTAATCTCACACTTTTAGAATTTTATCTGGTTGGTTATATCAAAAATAAGATATTTAACCTCCTGCCTACATACTTGAAAAGCTGAAAGCAGCAATTGAACATGAAATTATAATGCTAAATTAACTTTAACACGTTTTTCAGTGCATGAAACACAGAGAAAATTTATGTTTGGAAAACATTGTTTGGTGAAATGACCATTTTGAACATCTATTATAAATTTGATTAATATAATAAGTTTTTGTTAACTGAGTAAAAAACTATGTGTATTTGTTAGCATTGTAAGGTAAATTAATTTATTTATAATTTATATTTAAATATTAAAAAAAATGATACAACACTAAAATTTTTGTATTTTACTAACATTATTTTCATTATCTCTGTATGAAAATGGACTACAAAAAAAACTATATTTTTTAACGGACAACCTTCTTCAATCAAAAAATATTTCTTCAATATAGAACAGGATAAAAGTTCAAAATATCTTTGAAGAGTATTATGATTATTTTGTAAATAAAAAAGATTCTATTTTGTTGAAAAATGAAACACATTTTGCAGATTAAAGTTCAATGTTTGTGAAGAAATATGTACTGCACTGAACTATCCTATGTGTTTAGGGAATTTTGTGTTAATGAATGCTGTCAGTTTGGTTGCTTAATAGTTGCGGTCATGGAGGACTCGGACATTTATGAAGGCACTATATGTGATTGCATATAATTTTTTTTATGCAAATGTAAGATAATTGTCAACAGGTAATATTCTATCCCAATTGTGTAAACTGTGGGATGAGATACAATAATTTCTTTGAGAGCATTTATTTTGGTAAATGTGTTTTTAACTTTTCTACATTGCCCATTTGCAGATAAATGCTATGTCCTTTGGCGGTCTGCGAACGAAAAAGGTTGTAAGCAATGTACTACATATTTAACTTAAGCTCAAAACTGCGATGTAAATAAAAAGACGCTTGACAACTGATAAAATTGTAAAATATAACCAACATTTTTAATGTAACTAACATTTGTACTATAGTAGGATCATATTCGATACAAAGTAATAAATCATTGCCTGTCAAGGGAATCAGTGCAACAGGTTTTAGGGGGTTTTGGAAATTGAATAATTTCTTTATGGATTATGGATTAATAGTTATATATTTATGAAGAACAAAATGAAAAACAAAGGCATCTCTTTCGCACATCGGGCGGCAGGGCAACAATACATTTATTACTCCCTTCATCCTCCCTCATATTAGACGGAGAGCTAGCTACGTGTGGACTGCACTGATCGACTATAGTGGTGATTTTTTGTTAAAAGTTTGTTATCACATTGACAAAGTCAGAGCCCATCAGTCAGAAGTCGCTCCAGAGGCGGAGAGCGTGAGCGGGCGGTTAAACGCGTAAAGTTTTGTCAATAAAAAAATAATCGAATATAGTCATGAAAACTGGTACACTTATAGATTTTAAGTGGATAAACATAGAAAAAATATTGTCAGAAGGCTAGGTGGTGGCTTAAGCAATCTCAGAAGCGATAAAGTAGTAAATTGTAAATTGAAAAATAAATCACCATATATAATTCTGACATTTTGTTTATTGTTAGTTTATAATGCAAATAGACTATCTGTAAAGTTACAGAAGTTGAAAGTGAGGCTAATAGCCAAAAAAACATTATTGATCACCGCACGTGCAAATTTTGCCCCGGCTGTTACGCCCGGCGTTTTTATTCTTTTATTGTTAAGAAATGAATAAATATAGTTCAGGCATTTTACATAGCCACTCTTTACATATATGTTTATGTTATAACGAAACAACAGAAGTTTAGTCAGAGGTTAAGACTATGTTAGAGTCAAGTATAGCGCGCAAGACGATAGCACGGGCCGACAAAAAAAATTGTTTGTTTTTGGGACATGACCCTACCCTAGAAAAAATTTCCGCTGAATCTGAAACAGATAAAAAGAAAATTTTCTGACGTATGGATTTTCCTCACATACTCTCAATTCCCATCAAAAATTTAAAAAATCCAAACTGGCTATCCAACCTACCCATCCTTAGTAAAATTTTTCGCTGAATCCGAAATTCATAAAAAAAGTTCGGACGTATGGATTGCCCCCACACCCTCAATTCCCCCTAAAAATGCAAAAAAATCCAAACTGGTCATACAATCTACTTATATTTAGTAAAATTCGCTGAATCCGAAAATGGCAAAAAAATTGTTTGGACGTGAGGGATCCCTCTACTCATTTGTATCTCTCACTTTCTTCTTTCAAAAATAAAAATAAATACAAATCAAACGTGGCAACCGTTATAACTAAAATCTGTCGATAAAACCAAAACTAAAAAATATTTTTGAACTAAAATCTCCCTTTGCTCGCACACTTAGCGTTAGCGTTAGCATCCTAGCATTGATGACATTTTTCATTGAAAGCTTATTGTTTTCCAAAATGTCTCAAGCTGTTAAGTAACTTTAAGCTAGGTTATAACTTACTCTGGGTTGGTAGACGCCTTGACGTGGCCCTAGGGCTTGAACTCCCATTTTAATTGAATGCGAAGTTAAAATGCTAAAACTTTTTAGAAAATACCTTCCGCATGCTACTAGCTTAATGTTACTTAAGAGCTTTTGGAAAATAGTAAGCTTTTACTGAAAAATTTCATCAGTCTTAGGATGCTAACCGTAATTTGTAAATGATATCTGGAGGGCGAGGTTAAGTGTACGAGCAAAAGAAACTTAGTTCATCAATATTATTTAGTTTTGGTTTTACCGACAGATTTTATAAAAGTTATAACGGTTGCCACGTCTGATTTGTATTTATTTTTATTTTTGAAATAAACAAGTGAGAGATACGGATGAGCAAGGGGGACCCCTCACGTCCAAACAATTTTTTTGCAATTTTCGGATTTAGCGAATTTTACTAAAGGTAAGTTGGATGGGCAGTTTAATTTTTTGGGGGGAATTGAGGGTGTGTGAGGGAGAGTCCATAAATTTTTCTTTTTATCATTTTCGGATTCAGTGGAAAATTTTATTAAAGAGGTTGGATGACTAGTTTGAATTTTTTAATTTTTGGGGAAATTAAGGGTATGTGGTCTGGAATCCACACGTCAGAATTGTTTCTTATCATTTTCGGATTCAGCGGAAAATTTTACTAAAGAAGGATAGGTTTACGTCTCAAAAACACAGGATTTCTTTTGTCGGCCTGTGTAGTCAGACCGTTATTTTGGCCTGGCTTTCAAAATAGTAACCAAGCGTCAACTCGCTTCTGATTTTCGCTCCAGTCACAGCTCTAACAACGTTCACTGCTTGTGCATTAGATTTTTCGTGTATTGATAAATTTTTATGCCACCAATAATGGCGAGTGTTAAAGTGTGTGTTTTCAATTGCAGTTACAATGACAAAAAAAAGACAGATGTAGAGTACAGCAGCGATGATGGTACTCAGGACGAATCATCAGATTGCGATTCAGAGTAAAGTGCACTGTGCGTATTTCGGTAGAAAAACCAATTTAAAACCATTGTGAAAACAAATATTACCAAATAAAAAAATTATAGCAATTTATTCGATTGCACTTAAACTTATGTAGCTCTGGCATAGCCTTAACCTCTGAGTAAACTTCTGTTGTTTCGTTATAAGAAACATATATAATATAAAGATTGGCTACGTAAAATGCTAGAACTGTACTTAATCATTTATTAACAATAAAAGATCAAAAACGCCGGGCGTAACAA